ACAAAACATACACACATACACACACACATTGTCTATATCGAAAAAATACTAACAATTTAATTGAAATTACTAAAAAATATATTTAAGAAAAAAAAAAAATTTTTTACCATAAAATAAAGTGAAATTACTTTTTTTTTTATGGAAAAACGTTTTTGTGGAAAAATCTGAAATTCCTCTCTGAGAAGAGTAAAATTTCTTTTTAGAACTTATTCGCCTCCAACCGCTTTTTCACGTATGCAAAAAGAAATATAAAAGCTCTTATAGTATGAAATTAATTCTCGTATACACTCTCTTCTCTACTCGTGGATAATTCAAACAAGTATATATTCTGTAGCTTTTCTCAACTTCGATATAATATACAAATTTTTTTTTTTCCACAAACTTTTTAATGAGCTTCTAAAACCCTATGCACCAGAGTTATTAAATTCTTTCTTTCTTCCATTTTCCATAAATGTATTCAAGAAAAACAAAAATGGTTAAAAAAAAGAATGTTTCTATCAATATTATAAAAGATAAAAAAAAAGTGTTTAAAGAATGTACAAAAAAAAAATTTTTCTTTTATTCTAACCATGAGAAACAAAATAGAAAAATACTTTCACACCTTTTTCAAGGAGAAAATTAAATACCTCTTTTATATTATTCGAAAGAGAAAAATATTTTACCATATTTTTTTCCAAGGAGAAATGTATTTTTATCATTTTGCAAATGTCATTAAAAAAAAAAAATGCGAACAAACAAATTACGAGAATGAAATTGATAAACAATAAATCGATAACAGAAACTTTCTAAGAGTATATAATTTACTGTATTAATAAGGGATTTACAATATTCAGATAAACAAAAGGAAGAAAAAAAAAGAACAGTTTTTTCCTTATCTACAATGTTAAATTCGTAATTTAATTAAAAAAAATTTTAATTAAAAAAAGTATTAAAAAAATTGTATTTAGAAAATTAAAATTTTAAATTAAAATTTTAATTAAAAACAAATTTTTAATTTAACTTTTTCAAAATGGTAACAAATGGCAATATTTTAATATTATTTGCATGCAAATAATAAAAAAGATAAAAATTGGTTTATATAAGTGCAATGTCTTTTTAGATCGTTTATATAACTATTATAAAATTGAAGCCAAGATTAATTTAAACGATTGATGGTTTTTAAAACTTTCCTTTTTTTTTAACTCTCTAACCAAGCAAGCGAAAAATCAAGTATACGTTATCTCTTGGAATTAAATTTCCTTCTGGTCATTCGCTATCATCCATTTCAAGGATCTAGTCCAACTAATCCTTCTTTATCGACGGTAAGCCGTTCATTTTATCTATTCAAAGAGGGATATATTTAAGACAGAAAAAGACAGAAATGAATAATGAAAATTTTTCAGTATTAGATCCGATTTAAATAATAAATTATATCAGCCTATGATTATTATAAAAGAAAAAAAGAAAAATTTGTCAAAAGAAAAAAAATTATTAAAAAATAAAAGAAACTGGAAATAAAAATTATTTTTAAAGTGGCATGATTAATTTTAAATAGTTGATCTCCTCTTGATACAAAAAGCAGCTGTATAGTAGATGTTATTGCAAAAGTGTTCTGTTGCTGCAGTTGGCAGGAAATTTCACAACATTCACATACCATTTTAATTAAGCATCATGGCGCTAATGTCAATTACTATTTTTTTTTTTTTTAAACCGTCAACACCAGACTGTGAATCGTTTCAATTTGACAGGAGAAAATAATATATACTAAACCATTATAACAAAAATTAGTTATTTTTAGAAATTTAAAAAAAAAATTGTTTTTTCCATTACAAAAAATAGAAATTCCAAAGAATTTAATTTAAAATTCATTTTATATTAATTCTTTCTGTGATATAATTTTTTGGTTAAAGGCGAAAAAAAAAAATTATAGGAAGACAGAGAAAAAACAAAAACCGGATTATCAAGGAGTCGATGATGCTATATACTAAAAACGTGGCTCTTGTGGAATTTCCGGAATACCACCGCAAAAGAGTATCATATGACCTTGAACATGAATCGCAATCTCGTCCGCACATTTCCTAAGAGAATAGTTTAGCATTACGGAATCTGGACCACAATATATACAGCCTCTGAAATTATTGGCATTCAAATTGTTGAATCAATTATCACACTCAAAATATAAACAATTTGATATTGTAAAATAAATATTATAAAATAAATATTTTTTTTAAACTACTTCAAATATCGATAAAATTTATCCAATATCATCATTTTGATATTTATTTATATAACAAGAAGAAGATTCCGTTCTCAATCGTCGCGTGAAATTTATGAGAAATGGTATATGCAACATCGAGAGAGGCCAATAAGATTCCAGACACGAAAAAAGATTTACCTTCGAAAAAAAAATGTTCATCCGTAATCTATACTCGATATATGAAAATAAATTGTACTTTAAATAAAAATCGAAATAAGATTTAAATATAAATATCATCTCTATATTGAACATACATTATATAATGTAAAAAAATAAGAAAAAAGCATTAACTTACACTTAGGAAAAATTTGTTTGCATCAACCAAGTTTTGGTTTAATCAATAAAAAATTTATTTGGCCTAATCGAATTTTCTCTTCATTGGAAAATATATATATAAATATAAACCAAACGTTTATTTAGATCAAATAAACATATTTATTGATTACAAATTTTAATTGAAATATAAAAGAAATTGTGTTAATACAAAAAATGGTATATTTGGTTCAAACAAAATTTTTCTCTATGTGATAAAGAAAGAAAATTAAGAAAATTCTTTGTATACAACTTTTTGGTTAATTCAAATATTTTAACAGAGCTGACCGAAATGGTCACCAAATTTGTAAGCGTGACACAAACTTTATTTCATTCTGTTGACAAGTAAAGTGAGACGCCACTTGCACATTAGTTACACCCTCGACTTCAACGTTACTGAACGAAAACCAACAGCTTAACCCACTTTCAAAGAGAATAGAACGATTTTATAATACGCCACATGAGCTATCTATCAACTGTATATTCAATTTCTAAAAATAAATAATTCATGTACATCAAATAAATGTAAAAATTTATATAATATATAATCGATAAAAATCCTCTTAATTCTAAATGAAAATTTATTTTAAAATCAATTTTTTTTCACTATCAAAATAAAATCTAATTTTAAAAGGAATATTCGAATTGATAAAAATTTATAAATTTTGAGAAAGACGCAATCGGATTAATATTGAGCAAACGAAAGAGATAGAGGGGTAAAAGAGGCCTAATTTTGGAATATAGAGATCTTTATGTCTTGTTGTTCAAACAAAAGAGAGAGAAAACGATTCGCCACATAAATCGTCCGAATACAGACAAGCGGAGGGTGCTGCTAACGATGAAAATGTTTCGGTTACAAATTGTACTCGACAAACTGACAGTATCAGCCGTATTTCAGGTATTAAGCCATGATGCACCGACGCAATATATCACCTTAAATAATCCCGACTGAATATCCCATTGAAAGGGCTTCATTTAATTCACGAGCATCTTACAAAAAATTTAATTTTATCTCAGATACTATTCCATTCATTCGTTTCTTTTAAATAAATACGTGATTTATTATTCCTTATTCTTTTTTCCATTTTAAAATAATTTAAATAAAATAATTCATAATAATAAATATAATAATAATCAAATTTCAAGGATAAAATCAACTTTTTCCGCCCTTATAAAAATCATAATCTTTTAGAGTATATAATGATAAGATTTTTAATTTTATCAACTTGAAAATAGTTTTTTTAAAAAAAAAATACATTCCCTAGAACGATATTTCCGTGGGGGTAAATGGTTATAGAAGAAGATTGCGGTGAGCTTGCAGGTGGCAAAGAAGTAAGTCGAGACGGTTTACAGGGGGTGAATTTACGACCACCCTTTTCTTGCACCATGTTCGCCGAGAGTGTTAGGATAAAGTGTAAAACACACAACGTGAAAAAAACGATGAATAAAATATCAACAATATATATATATATACAATATGAAAAATTACTCAAGAATAACAATTTATAATGAAAATTTTTCTCTATTAGTATTTTTAATAATCTGAATACTATTTTTAGTAGATAATTCATATTTTAAATAATTAATTAAAATAATAAACTGAATTGAGATAATAAACTGTGTTAATTATTAAAATTACGCTAGAGGCCAAAAGTGCAATGCAAACTGACTGATTCTTGATTTGTTTTACTATCTGTGTCACAGGAAGAGAAATGTCCACTTTTCAGAAAAGCAATAAATTGCAAACAAATCAAAGTTCGCTCAAACTCTTTATTAAATAATATATTTTCAAATCGTTCCACGAAGCAGTTGGAGGAAATTTTCCCAAATGGCATTGCAAAATTTTATTAAAGAAATTAAATAAATATATAACTACTTTAAAATTTTGATTGATTCATTATGTTTTAAAATGTAAAAAAAAAATTTTTAAATTGAATTTTTTGTAAAATAATTTAAAAAGCCTATAATAATTATTTTTTTATACAAAGGCATAGCAGTTTTATAAACTTTCACGCATGAAATATAAATTGATTATACTTTCCCTTTCCAGTTAGCTAAAGTTTGTAGTCGGAAACTGCTTTTCTTATACGCGAGTATAAACCTTGTCTAACCTTAAAATATATGTTTTCTTAGAAAACATGCTACATCTTCAGTACCTCTTTCTTCTCCCGGGGTCCTCATAAAAGAGTCGCCTGTGATAAGAGCGCTGCACATATACATAAATCAACATATAGACTATATACATATAAAAAATAGCCTCTTATCACTCGCACACGTAAAACGAACCTTTTTTTATATTTATTTTTACGTATAAAAATAATTTATAACTTATTTTATAATAAATTTTGAATTTAAAAAAAGTAAAAAAAATTTTTTATTTTAGTTCAAAACTTAAAGAACTAATTAATCAATTGAAATAAAAAGTACATATGCAAATTAAATACGAACTCACCAATAATGTTTCCGGAGTGCTCTCAACGTCTGAAACAAAAGAGAAAAAAAACTACTTTATATATACAGAACATCATAAAAAGGTTAAAGCATTAAAAAAAAAAAATCAATGACAAAGAAAAAAAACCGCGGATTTATCCGCAATATAAAAGAAAAGAATGTCTCTAAATTGTAGAAAATTTTCAAACGTCGAAAATATATGATCGACATTTTGAAAGAAGGGCAAAAGAGAGAGAAAAAAAGAAAAAGCCACGAGAGCTTTACAGAATGAAGGATAGAAATGATTATATACGTTATATTAGAGGGAAAGAGAACATAAAATGAGCTAGAGCGCTGAGAAAAAAGTGAAGTGAATTGTTTCATTAATCCGAGTCATAAGGGACTTTTAAGGCTTTGCGAGGGCTTTGCAAATAAGACAAAAGATCCCATTTCTTTCTTGTGTTCTTGATACCAAGACGACAAAAGTATATAATCAAAAATCATTTATGACTTTTAATATTCCTTTCTATTTTCTATTTGTCAAATAAAAAATACGAAAAAAATTTTCAAAAATTAAAAATAAAATACATTCTATTATTTTATTGAATTCAAAAGAATACAAAAACAAAAGAATGAAATATCAATATAAATAAAAGAAAATCAGAACGAAAAAAATAAGATAAAAAATTTTTCTATTGGGAAATGTTGACAAAATATGAATCGATTTCCTTTTAAACGCGAATGTATAACTCTCGGCAATCTGCCAAAAGACAAAATCAGCATTTTTTTTTTCGCCCAAAACTTGCGGCGACGATTCGCTAAACCTCAAAGAGGGTTTTCTGTTGATTCAACTTTCTCATATAAAATTATTATAAGCCACTGAACTTCCTATATAAACTCTACTGGGAAAACTTTTATCTTTCTCTCTCTCTCTCTCTCTCTCTCTCTCTTAACTTGTGAGCAATAACCAAAGTATAGTTGTTAATAAAAAGCGAATACTGTCTGTAAACTTTCTAAAAAATAAAATATTAAATAAGATTGATAATATTTTTTTAAAAAATATCGAAAAATTATTTTTTTATATTTTTGTTAATAAGATTTATAAGTCTCAGGGAGAGTGCGAGTTCATGACGCAAGCGTAAAGTTAGGCGCTGCCATAGATTCTCAGGGGCGGTACGTAGCCGTTGAAGCATAAATTAAATTCTCGTCGTGCTGCGACTGTCTGTCGCGACATAAGCAATACCGCCAAAAACATTGCGGTTTCGTATGGTTCCGAGCGTGAAAACCACGATTTGGAACTGAAACCGCATGGACACTTATTGCTTGGAAATAAATTTATTATCCGGAATTACTTATTTATCTCTTTTTGATATGATACATGTTATGTTGGTATAGCAATGGTTGCTATTGTAACCGTTACTATAGCAACAGTTACCATACTATACCGTTACTATATAGTAATAGTTACAATAGCAACCATTACTTTATGGTAACGGTTACCATACTATAGTTAGCATAGTATAATTATAGTAACAGTTACAATACTTATAGCAATCCTAATACTATACGAAATATTAAAAAAATTAGAATCTTTTTTTTCAGCAAAGAAAAGAAATAATTTTCTTTGCGGCAATGTCCAAACAAAGGGTGAGAGAGAGAGAGAGAAGGAGAAGATTTGCTTTCGAACGTTTCACCCTCTGTAGGCACAGTGGTTAATATAGCATGGCCGAGCTTGTCACACCCTTTGGAAACAGGGAAGATTCCCGGTTCCCTACACAATGACAAGATTCTCATTAAGAGAAAGGGCGAGCTTGGTACTTTGGTAAGACATTATATCACATATATATATAGGTTAGAGGTTTGTACACATTGTCCAACCAGGACATTATATGTGTGTACATAGTTTGTATATGTATAACAAGCTCATATCGTCCATTATATTACTAGCATTTCATACCAAAATGTCACTTTTCAAACAAATACAAAAAGATTTTGATGCTTAAATTTCAAGATTGCTTCTGACTGCACCATTGTTAAATGCGAACAACAGTGTGCTTTGTAAATTCTAAACACCGAAACGCGAGAGACGGAAAATGTCTTTGATAATTTCAAAATTAAGTTATAAAGTCATTTTCACGCTCTTAATATATTTTTCTTTTAATTTTTTTTTTTATATCAAATTGGTAGTTGTCTACTAGAAAATAATTCTAGTTTTCAACAATAGAATTTTTTCCAACTTTTATTAGGTTCGCGTATTTCGAGACAAGAATAAACCTATGAAATAATAAAACACGATTCGTTCAAGATATACAGAATCGAAACGTACGTGGAAATATTTTCAAGGGACCACTTTTCCGTTCACCCACTTGGCGCGCTTTCGTGATATTCTCCTTCTTTTTCTCGGGAGGGTTTTTTTTTTATATATATGTGTATCGTCTTGCTACTACGAAGATAAAAATCGAGTGCATTCAGGGGATCATAGCATGGTTTTATATATATGAAGAACATATAACGTTTCATTTATATAAGATGACGATAGAAAAAGCTCTGAATGAACATTTAGATGCCATGAAAATACTTGGCCTACTAAATCAACTGCACACTTTAAGCCTTGAAAATTTATTTAAAAGTTTATTCTTCCTGCAACTCCATAGATTACAAATCTATTTTCCCTTTACCCATTATATATATACTCCGTCTCTAATAGGAAGAAAAGGAAATTTTTTTTAGAGTCCCCTTTGTTATTGTTCTCGATTTCACCAGATGCCTCTGTTTCGACTCTTTTTTTCTTTCTTTACTTTTACGAATACTACAAGACCAACCTTAGAAAACCCTCGATCTTCCTCTTTCCATTTCCTTTATTGTCAATCTGACTCCTGACCATTGCCATCCACCCTTGATCCTGTTTTTCTTATTTTCAGCATTGCAAATAAAAAATTCTTGAATTTCGAATCTGAAAAAAATTTATTTCATTCAAATAATCTATTCCAAATACATATTTATTTGATAAAAAGCCGATTATTTGAATAAAATACATTTTTTTCAATGTAGATTTTTATTTAAAAAAAAAAAAAAAAAAACAGTTGAAGATTTATTAAATATAAGAAAAAAAACGATAGAAAAAAGGAACCTAACGATTATAAAATGGGATCATTATTATAAAGACAAAGAATACATTTTCTATTTAAAGAAAAAAGACTGATGACATTAAACACGTGAGACGATAATTAAGAGGTTATTTATATTGAAAAAAGTTCCTAGTCTTTCATAAATCATAGCTTCTTATAAAAAAAAAAACCTGAGCAAGCATACAAATGAGAATGCAAATAAAGCATATGTATATAGTCAATTTTCTCCTCTCCTCTCAAGATCATAACTCAGGAAACACCCTTTTCTTTATAAAAGGCACAAGCTGCCATCATTTTCCCTTTTTTTATATATATATACCAAAAGAGGAAGCCCTTTCTCATAGAAAGAGGATATTACCTTGTAACCCGTAAACTCTGCCTCCACTGCTAGTTTCGTTCAACGACCGGAAGAATCCATTTCTTCCTTCGGGACGTTTATTTACCGCGTGAGCCTCATCGCCAAAGAGAGAAGAGAAAATTTCTCCGCATTTTCTTTTCTCTCTTTCATTTGTATTCTTCACATACAGTAACAACGCATTAATAGATATTGCGTCTTTTTATATAGACACACTAAATTGCTTCGTTCTACGATTATTGTTTCGTCAGGATAAAAATAACTTTTCTTTTCCCTAAGCCAGCAAAAAAAAAAAAAAAAATAGTAAATCTCAATGTTTAGAACTACCACAAGCAGAATTTCTGTATTTGAACCAATTTTTTCTGCATTTGAACCAATAATTTATCTGAAATCAAATTAAGAGAATCATATTTTAAAACTGAAAAAAAACACCAGTCATGAGGAATCGAACCCTGGTCCTTGTCGAATATCCGGGGGGGTAAGCCACTTAGCTATGTCACATATACCAATAATTTCTGTATTTGGATTTCTGTATTTGAAGCAAATATCATTTAATTGCTAATTATTTAATACAAATAAATATTTATTTGATAATAATCTAATTATTTGAATCAAATAATTTTCTTTCATTGGACAAATCAAAGAATTGTAATTACCAATGATGATAACTTAATAATTATAACCTAAAAAGAATTGTAAATCCTAATTTTAGTAATTACCAATACTTTCACCTTGTTTTAGGTAATTATCACCAGCTAATCCGAAAAATCTCTATTATCTTTTTATAGCTTTGCATGTTTGTCGAGTTAAGAAATCGTTACACTTTATCGTTATATATATATACAGTGAATGAGAATTGGAAAAGAGGGTTGGCAAACGCACTTAAGCGTTGATTGGCCAAGGTATATGTTAAGCTAATATCGTACTTTTCGCAGTCCCTGTGATACAATTCCACGCCCTAGGCACGCGCAGCTGCAAAATGTCGGGAGTTAGCCAAACCTCTAGGTTATCAATATAGGCAATCGCAAAATATCACCCCCAGGGGCCAAGAAATGTACAGAGGGTTGGCAATAATGTTCAGGGTAGATCTAAAATATTGCCGTGAAAATCAAGACTAAAAAAAGGCAAACTTCTTGTTTCTCATTCTTATCAAAAAAAAATTTTTAATTTTTCCCCTAAAATATTCTAAAAAAAAAAAATAACAATAAATCCTTAGCATTTTAGAATCATTTTTAGATCTATAATTATAATTCATCATATAATTTATTATCCAAAAATATATAGCACTTTGTTTGAAATTACCCGTAAAGAGCACCTGAGTTTTCGCAATGAAATCTGAATTAGAATATCACATTATGCATAAGGTCTTAAATTTTCCATGACACTTAACCCACGCAAGGAATAGAGAGAGAGAGAGAAAGACAGTTTCAACGATAGCTTGAAGATTGTGCTGAACACATAATTTATCAAAATGCTAGAGGTCGTCTCTCGCGAGAATGTCGAGCTATTCGCAAAATGCGTGCCATAAATCTTAAGTAACGCCACCCTCGGGAACGATAAGGAAAATAGAAGCTCTTCGAATAGATATAGAACTATTTTAAGTCATTATCACATTGGATGTGCTAGTTCAATTACAAAATATAAATGACATATTTAGAAAACGTTCAATTTTTTTTTCAATAAAAAAGATTTTTCTAAGTTCCTTAATATTTTTAGAATAGAAGGAAAAAAAACAATTAAAAGGAAATTCAAACAACTAAAATCAGTTAAAATTGATTAAAAAGTTATCTCGTTGGAGAGGATTGAAATAAACAAGGAGGCATTCCTAAAAGAAGCTTATACACTATTTCTATAGTAAATTGCTACTTTCAGAGCATTTCTTGTGCGCCTCATTTGTCAAGACTATTCCTAAAGCATGTCTTGAAATTATTTTCAGCTTATGTCTCTTGCGGTAAATACTGTTGATAACCAATCCTAATTCCACTATATGTACGACGCTTCACGAGAAAAAGGACCTTACAAAAAATTTTAGGTTCAAAATTTCATTAAACATTTATTATTAATTTTTTTTTTATTTAATTTCTATTTTAGATCCAATGAAAACAATTAGGATTTGTATATTTTCAATTCAAAAATCACAAACAACCTCGAACTTTTTGACTCTAAGGTCCCTTTTTTCGTCTTTTAAAAATTTTCACATTTAATAACCGAAAATAATTGAATCATGTCATTGTCACCGCATTTGTCATATTATAAAACATGATTTAATTTCGACAGTTGAATGTTTCTGGATAAAACGGCTTACAAAATTCAACATGTACGATATAGTGATGAGAGCACTTCGAACGGAATAATCCTGATCACGCGACACTAGCCACTCGCACCTGATACCGATAAAGTGGCATTAGCAGATTTCTAGTGGAAAATTTTATGCCTTTGCTGTTCAATGCACACTTTAACATAAATAATACATTTAGAAATAATCCTCCTATAAAACAAATCTTTATATATCTTTTTCCCCTTAAATTTCAAAAAAACAAATTTTTTCAAACACTTGGCAAGAAATAAAATCGATTTTTAAATTGAGAAAGAATCGATTTATTTTTTAAATTTAATATAATGCAGAAACTTATACGAAGGTCACCATAGTCAGTATAATAAAGTCTAGAAAAATAACTTAGCTGGAGAAGTTTCTCTCAATTATCTCTACAAAGTACAGAAAGTGAAACTGTGTTGATGACAAAACTTTGTTAAAAGTTTTAAGTTAAATTATTGGATTAAACTTTTCTATATAACAAACGAAAAGTTTTTCACAAGTTTTATTCTAGAAAAGTAATAGTTAGATTGATATTAAATATATAATTAAATAAAAACAAAACAATTTTTTCACTCAAAAAAAAAAAGAATAAGATTTCGAAATAAAGTAGAACATTTGAAAAGAAATATTAAACGAGAATAAATCTTTCATATTATTTCTATAATGATATCGTTTCTGTATTGATCATGAAGATGAAAAGACTCTATACGCCGTTTCAAGAAGCCATTCACCTACATTCTTTCCTTGAATCATGTAATACATATAGAATAAAGAATACACATATATAATGCAGTTTTGCGGTATCATCTATTGATAAAAGAATCAGAATATTTTCTGTACGGTTTCTGTTTACACATTTTAACTTATTTTCACAAAAAGAAAAACATAAAATAAAAAAATTGAAAAGTATTTTTAAATTCGACGCGAAAGGAACTTTAGAAGCAAAAAATTATAGATTATATGTTTTAAAATTTTTAAGTGAGAATATACATCAACTGATTTTTATAAAAAAAAAAAAAAAATATAAGAAACAATTATAAAATGAAATTGTCTTCGATTCAATCTGCATTTGAAATGGAAACAACTTGAAAAATGCAACTGATTAAAACGTGAATTGGTATCGTGAATTCAAGACTGATCCGATAACAATGGGAGTTTGTGATTCAAGTAGCGGAAATAATTAAAGTGCTGTGTCGTCGCGACGTCTACTCTTGCGAGCAAGTCGTCCATTGGACAGTCCGTGAAATCGCAACCGACATTTCCGTCTCTAATTTATCGTGAATTAGAATTCCGCGTTTAATTCGACTCACTGCATAGCTTTTCAACCATGCACTCGTCTGCTTTTTCTGTCTCTCAATTTTTGGCTCTCTCTCGCTCTCATTCATTTTCTCTCTCTTTCTTCCATATCCACTGCACCGTTAAACAACAATATTCAAAACGTTATTTCGAGTTTCAAATGGATAAATTCCAATTTTCTTCCATCAAACGCGCATTGTTCTATTGTATATATATATAATAAAAATCATGATTTATCGATGATTGAATTATTTTTTTATCCTACCTATTCACTTTATACTTTAAATTTCAGAATGTTGTAAATGAAAAATTAGTTTCTCTTTAAACAAAATGGAAAAACAAAGTAGAAAAACTTTTTGGTACAAAAGTATATTAATGCATCGAAAATCACAATAGAAAGAGCTAGATTTGAGTGTCCGAGACTGGACCAAATTGAACCGTTCACAAACGTGTTTAGAGTATCAATGCGGTTAGTGCGACCATCTGAAACAAAACTGATTTCAGAGCTGAAAATCTATCTTCTACCTCTAAACGGAATTACACAGAGAGGACGAAGTCAAAGTTTATCAACTAAAGGAGAAGGCATTGTTCGACGAATACCAAAATTAAGTTGGAGTTGTTTATTACATTATAGAGTTTCTATGGTGAAGTTTCCCTTCCAGTCTATTGCTTCGATTTAGTCAAGTTTAGCAAGTCAAAAATCCTTTAAAATTTTTATAATTAATTTTAAAGGTGCGACTTTTATAGAATCCCATTGAGAGTTAAAATCCAACTTCTTTTTTTTTAATAAAATAAAAAATAAATATTAAAATATTTAAAAAGTGTCAAGATATTTTTTTTTTTAAACTAGGGTTGTCGAAACACGTAGTTACCACCCAATAATCGATAAGGTTTCCATAGGGGAACAATACACACCTTTGTTTGCCCTGTTAGTGAGCCTAAGGTCTACTATCTGTTTCGCATGTAGTCAGTCATTATCTCCAGTCTAAATATACACATGTATCCCTTTACAATTCCCACAATAAACCCTCAAATTATCCAAGAATGCTAATAAAAATAAAACAACTCACCAAACTGTCCTGCAGATCATGGAATATTATCTGAAACAAAAAAAAAAAATTTATATAAAAAATAAGTCACCTTTTTTTAAAAACAAAACTAAAAAAGTGTTAAACCCAAAAAGAGAAATGGTTTGTATATATTCAAAAAAACAGAACTAGAAAAGTGATAAACACAAAAGATGGGATTCAGAAAAAAAAAAGAGAATTGTGAAGAAGAAAATTGTTTTTTAAGATAAAGAGCCCAAGTGCAAAAGGTTAACTGTTCTGAAACATAAAACGTTTCCAACTATATAGTGACAAAAGAACCTAACACGTGGTTCCCTTCTCATCTTATGGGCGTTGCAAGCTCCACTAAACGTGTAATGGCATTCGCAATAAAGGAAGCACTTACTTGCTATGTTCTAAACGGAAATGCTGTATCACGGGATCATAACGAGAGCGAGGGCCAAAATATCGACTTTTTACGATCGCGTCCAAGACGTCTATTATGAGCACGGCATTTTCGGCACTTGTGAACTTAACGCACCAATTATCGTGAACAATTCTCAAGAGTCTTGTTCCTTGTTATCGCTCGAATAACCCAGCAACACTATGGAAAACACTCCCTTTTTTTTTTACTATTTACATTTTACTACCAAAATGATTACCGATTTCAAAAACGAAGATGTTTTCTGTTTTAACATTTATTATTGTTCCATTTGCTAAAAAAAACTTTATGCTAAACAATTTTTAAAATGTATTAATTTGGAAGTATCGATTTTATTAAAGTACAATTAAAGTTTAAGTCCGCCAATATAAAGTAAATGGTATCAGCATCTAAAGCTGAATAATATATTCGGACTTTGGAAAAAAAAAAGAAATTTTCAAACTACGGTTCTTTAAATTTTTTAGAGTGTCTTTAAACTTAAAGATTTATGCACACTTTTAGCATGTACGTATTAATAAAAAGAAAAAAAAAAGTTTAACATTGAAGAATGAAAATTTCATTTTATGTGCCTTATCCGAAGTGAATCAATGGCGTTTGCGGGGAAGTAGTAAAGCTCTAAATCCACCTTCACTGCTTCCAACCGGGAAGAAAGACGAGTTTGTAGAATAAAAAGCGTCTTTTCAGTGCTTTTTCGTGCTATTATATAGATAATTTCGGTATCGTATATCGATCCTCCCTCTGCTAAGATAATGTCCAAAAGGATTTTTTTAAAAGAAGAATTATATCGAATTAGACAGTGGACAAAAATTTTATTTAATTCAAATAATAATTTTTACTATTATTAAATAAATATTTATTGGTATTAGTTAATTAATTATTTGAGTCAATTAAATGCTATTTGTTTCAAATACAGAAATTATTGTTTCTAATACAGAATTCATTGGTCAAAATGCAAAAATTATATTGGTTCTAGTACATAAATTATTGATCCAACCCACTTGGAAAGATTCACCGGAAAGTGCCCCCTGGAGGTTCTATCAGAATTCCGCCGGAATTTTCAACGTAATTCCGTCGGAGTTCCATCGGAGCTCCAAAGAATTTCCGCGATGGGATTCCGACGGAATTCTGATTAATTTTTTTCAAAATTTTTTAAAATCCTAATTCCGTCGGAATCCCATCGGAAATTCTTTGGAATTGCGATGGAATTCCGACGGAATTACGTTGGAAGTTCCGGCGGAATTCTGATAGAACCTCCAGGGGGCACTTTCCGGGGAATCTTTCTAAGTGGGAATTAATTTGGACAATTAGATTTCGAGAAATAAGAAAAGATAAATGACATAAAAAGGACAAAATAAACAAAAGATGTGACTGCGAAGAAAAATAATTTTTTTTTGAAGACACGATTATTTTTAGATTTTGATTGATAAATGCGCTTGAGAACCAAGTACAAAAATCGAGTGCAAAATCAGTAGTTAAATGAGGGCGTATTTGCGGCGCCGAAAGTATTTATATATATCGCAAGTTGGCGCCGCGAAGCTCTCTCTCTCTCTCTCAATGAAAGCTGTGCTCAGCATCAAAGCTCACTTTTCTGCATTGTGTTAGAGAGAGAGAGAGAGAGAGAGAGAGAAAAAAAAGAGAATCCCTTTCTTGCGTGACTACATCTATTCAACCATCCATCATTCCATCCATCTCGATCTTTCGTCGTGACCAGCCACAAGAGGGATGGAAAAGGAAATGCCTCAATCCCTCCCTCCCATCCATTCAGTCACTCTAAATGCCTTTTCTGCGAATCTTATAGGGTGCACGATACACGACACCTGTTCACTGCCTTGTAATTGTCTCGTCAATTTCACGTCAGCCTCAATACACTAAACTATATAACTTATTTTCTCAAGCAGAACAGAATAAAAAAGTTTTACTACTGTTTACATCAGATAACATTTCCCACTTTAAAAAAAAAAAATTATCCACAAGTAACAAAAAAAAATTACAAACATAAAAATTTTTCAATGACAAAATTTTAAAAACAATTTGAAAACTAGAACATAAAACATAATTTGAAAAGTAGAACATAAAATTATTTTCTCGTCTCTTATTAAATATTTGTAACGCGTTACAGTTGAAATACAAAAAAAAATATTGTCCACTGTTTTACAGATTTTATTTCTCCCTTTGACAAAGCCTTCCATTAGTCGTGTAAGTAGCTCAAGAAACGTAGTATACGAGACAGGAAAAATAGCACAGAGCATAAACAATTCGACGAGTAAGTCCGCACCCTTTTTTTTCCTGAAAGGGATGAAATAAAACAAAAATGAAACAAGAAGATTAGGAAACCCGATGGAGAAAGCTGAGAGCAAACAGACTTTAAAATTACAAAAGTTTAGAGTCGCATTTCTACTCTTCAAGTATCGCACATTGCTTTCTCGAAACAGAAAGTCAACTGGAGAGTAATTCCGTATTTTGTTCTTTTTCAGTTTCGCCTCTCTCTCTCTCTTTATTTTTTTTTTATTTTTTTATTCTTTCAAACTCACAAGCGGTCCATACAAGCAATTTCGTGGATTCACAACCTCTAAATGAACATTTAATTGAATTTTTTTCACCAATTTTATCTCCCAATTGAACTTTTACCTTTCTTCACAAATGTTTGTGTTTGATCTTTAAATTGCTTGAAAGTTAAAACATTTTTTCTTCATTTTACACAAAAAATATTGATAAGCAATTTTTTTTTTTCAATAAAATACAAAACAAAATTATATTCTTACTTTCAATTTTTAAAAAATATTTTGATAATAATAATAAAACACATTTTGTCTAAAAAAAAAAATTTGCCCAAAAAATCAAAAAGTAATGTTTATTTGAAAATATTTGCTATAAAAAATAATTATTATTTAGACTCTAGAGGAAACGAATGATCTCGTATCATGACACCATCGTGCTAAAAGTTTTTACCTCCACTAAGCTGGACACATAGTTTAAACTTTTAACAGCCCATCAAGTACTTTAAAATAAACTGTATTAAGATAATGATAAAAAAAAAACTTCTCCAACATTTTATTAATTATATAACAAAATCTAAAGTTTTTCTGAACAAAAGTTTTCTCAAAAGTAAAAATAATTTTCAAAACTTAAAACTATATTTTCCATCAGGAGAAAACAAAAAATTTCTTATACTTATTGGAAAGTGAAATCGAAGAAAATATAAATATTTCATAAAAATTCACAAGTGACCGAAAAAAAGGGGGTGGAAGCAAAGGGAAACAGCAAGAAAGATTTGTGCGAATAAATACCATAGGGGAATCAAATATCGTCGAGTTCTTGTCGCATATAAATATTGAATGTTAAGTTTGCCTTTTGACATTTATTAAGTAAAAAAATATTACCTCTCACAAAAAACAACTAGTAAGCGTAAAAGAACAAGAGAAAAAAATTTATTTAATCATTTGTCTTCGTAAATTTCCTTATATCATTAAAAAAATTAAAAAAAAAAACACGCAATAAAATAAAAAAATAAAATAAAAGTTGAGTCAACTGAAATAGAGATAAATAAACTTAAAAAATTAAGACAATAGGATTCTATTAATTTGAAGAATGGAATAACAACAAAACTCCACAGAAGGAAAAAGATTCTTTCCAGACATATGATATAAAGGGGACAAAAAAGTTTCCAAAGAAAAATGTTTCAACAGAAAATAAACTCGAAGAAGTCCTTGTTTCATTATTTTATGTACTATTTTTTTTTTCACTATTTATATACTATTTTTTTAAAATATAAATCTACTATTACTATTTTTTTAAAATCAAAACATCGAGAATATATGATAATATTAAAATTGAAAAAAAATGTATAATGCTACACATATACACGATGTGACTAATTCCCTGTGAAGGAAAATAATCTGTTAATTTTGAACCAGATTTAATTCAAAACTAAGTTAAAGCGATAAATTTCAAACTTGCAGATTGACAAAGTTATGATATTAAACTCCACTTCGGAGCATTCGCCAATCGTTCTCGGTAGTTGAATTCCGAAACGTTTGCAGGCAAGATAAACAAGGCAAAAAATTTTTAAAATTAAATTTTTCTTAGTAAAATTTAGTAAAAATGTACAAAAATTAAATTATTAAAATAAATTAAATTCTTTTATAAGTAAAATATAGTAAACAAAAATTACAAAAATCAATTTTTTTTTTTTAGTAGAATATAGTAAAAATTTACAAAAAATAGATGAAAAAAAAGAATTGCCAAAAACTGAAAATATAATGCTGGTACAGTAGCATCGCAATATCTTGCCTTGCGAAGGTAGATATTCTCTAGGGAGAAAAAGAGGGAGAGAGAGAGAGAGAGACGGCCCTATTGTACTAATTCACGTCGCTAATGTGAAGAGTTTCTAAAGAACGAACAAACAATAGAACTTACTCTACCGTCTTTGGATTTCTCTTCTTCCCTCTTTTTGGCTCTAGAGGTAACTACACGCCCACGTATACGTACTTATATACAGTTTCAAGCGTTTTACGTGATGGTATGAGTTTATACTGTTCATGTGTATATATGACTTTGCCAACCCCTACTCTTATAAACGAAAACGACGATCCGGTTGATACGTGCTACCGAAAATTAACAAAAAAAAACTGTCCAAAAAGCAAGAAGGGTTAAAAGGGTAAGAAGAATAGAGGAGGGAAGTACAAGTACACAAAATCAAGAGAGAGAGAAAAAAAAAAGATAAGGACATATGTTGCAAGGAACAAAAAAAAATTGCTGACGTAAAGGAATTGTGACAGAAAATAAAAAAAAATTTTCTAAAGGTATAATTTACAAAAAAAATTATTGAAAAATTCAGACAAATTAAAATTAGATGGAAATAGATGGAAATTTCGTTAAACGAAATGTGAATGATAAATGGTTATTTGATTTCATGAATTCAGCGATTGGATAATCTGTCAATATTGAAATTCCATTTTTTCAAGATTCTGCAATTTTTTTTCTCGGTAAAAAAATTTATATTTATCTAACATATTTATTTAAATAAAAGAAATAATTTAAAATATTTATTTGAATAAAGAAAATTTTAATAATAATTTTTTTATATGTTAAAAAAATGTTATATTTGGTTCAACCAAAACTTTTTTGAATGTAGTTTTATTTTAACAGTATTAAAATCTGACGAATCACAAACTAATTGAAATTAATTAAGTTTCAAACGAAGAGAATAAAAAGGGATAATTAATTAACAGGAAAAAGAGCAACTTGATCAATTGCGTTTGAGAAAAAAAAAAAGAGAAAAAAAAACCCCCGACGACTATATGTAGCGATGCGGGAAAAAAAGGGACAAGACGACAGTTTGTAGTCTGATAGATGGACTGGACATTGTGTGTCTCATGATGTTACACATATTACTCAAGTGTCTTTATATAAAGATTCAGAGATGAAAGAGGGAAGAGAATGAAAGAGAGAAATACAGAGAGCAAGAGGGAAGTATTTTACAACACTGAAAGTGTCTTGTTTTTGTTTTGACACTTGAGTCCAAAAAAAAAACTACTAAGCCTCCAAAAGCTATGATTTGTATGCAACTGGATGCTGGGCAATTGATTTTATCCGATTCCACGATACATATTCATGTGAATCGAGTCGAAGCAGAAATTCTCTGACACGAAAGATAAATTTAAAGGAGCCTGTTCTGCATAAATTGCATCCGGCATAAGTACCGTATAAAAATAATATAGGAAAAATGCAATAATAAATTATATTCAATAATAAATTTAATAAAGTGAAACTCAAATGAAATAAAACAGCAAAATAAAAGCAAAATAAATTCAACACAAATAGAATGTAAAGAGTTATGCTTCATGAAAATAGGTAAAGCTACAAGTGAAATTGCAAAATATTCATAAACAAAAGTTACCAGAAATAAGACAATATGGTTCATGATTTTGACTTTTATAAGAAAAAGCCTCATTAAGATCATTAAAACAAGTACACTAATTATAACCAGGGAAGAGAATTTTCATTTTAATTACACTGTTGGTTCGACTTTCCAAATATATACCTCAAACTTTTGTTAAAGGTCATTCTACAATTATTCCTACAAAAAATTGACTACTGTTAATTTTTGGTGAGCCAATAGTAAACTCTAGCAATTTTTGATAGAGATTTATATAAAATTATAAAAAATAAATTAATTAAAAAATTAATACTAGCGCCTAGGGGGTCAAGACCCCTTAGTACCTTTTAACCCTGCGGGGTAAAAACGAACTACACAAAGTTATAATCCACACAAAAAATATATAAAGACGGTGATTAGTTTCAAAAACTTTTTAATATTTCGAGAGTAATAAATTCGAGGAAAATTTTTAATTAGAGGCTTGGCTGTTAAAAAAAACGAAGAAGAAGAAGAAGAAGAAAAAGAAGGTCTAATTACCCATCGACCATTCATTTTTTTTTTAAGGATTTTCATTATTAAGGGTGAAAACTAATATAGCGGAGTGTAAAAATAAAGAAAAAATATAATTGAATGAAATGTACAATAAAAATTCAATGAGTATATATATGGAAGATATAGTAAGAGAAGAGAATTTACGATGTTATAAAAAGTAACAAATAAAACCATTAGAGCGACGAGAGTAAAGTGATGTGTGTGGTGAAAAATTGCACACAATTGCAAAAATAACGCTGGTTTCACCCGTTTTTCATTAGCAGCCGCTGATAAATGACAGCGAATAAACATGATTAATTGATCAAGCAGGTAGTCCTTTTTTCCCTTTGATTCTTTGGCTGATGATATTTAATTTGCCTAAATGACATTTTACAATATTATACGCTTCTTTGACTCGATTTCTACACAGACATTTTTACAAATTAACAATATTTTACTTCAATCGTTTAAACTATTATTATTATTAATATTATTATTATATTATATTATTAATTTTATTATTATTATTATTGTTGTTGTTTTTGACAAAACTTGTTTATAATGTAGTTTAGTAACTCAAAATTTAATCGAGTGCATAAAGTATTTTTTCAAATATCCAGTAATAATAAATAAATAATAATAAAATATTTTTTAAAATAATTAACTCAAAATCAATTTTAGAGCGTTTAAATAAATTTTTAAACTGTATTATTTAAATTCATAATTGGATTCACTTAGTTTTTCCTTTAATTTAGTTTTTCTTTCTTTTTAAACAAAAAAAAAAAAATTATCTTCATTAATTATTATCATCGACGAAACGCGACCTTTACGCAAAATTACCTCACACCATTAACTAATCATTTATAATTCTAAAGACATCGTTAAATACATCAAGTACAAGGCTCGAATACATCGCAGAATTAATAACAGGGTGCTAATTAGAAGTTTACGATTAAAAGTTAAACGAAAAAAAAAATGTCAAATTCAGAACAATACGCCTATTATTTAAAAAAAAAAGAATAAATTATCAGCATTTAAAATATATTATTAAAAGCATCTATTTTTATTTTAATGGTATATAAATATAATAATAAAATTATTATAAAATATTGAAATATTCTAAAAGAGGTGACAAGAATTTATTATTTTTCGAATTTTTTCCTTTTATAATTTCGAAAATTATTTTTAAAAAGAACATACATTCTCACACAAAGAAAAAGATGACAGTCAAAATAAATCGAGAGGTCAAGTTGATTGCAATGAAATCAATATGCAGCATTTCGATCAGTTTTGGATTGTAAAATACTTTCATTAGTATTTGGCTGGTGGCCAAGGACATGTTACCTAACTATGAGATCTATGAGCAGCTTATTTCAAACAACCTTCCGATGGTGACCATACGAAGAAGTCACGTATGAATCAAGTGCAACGGTTTTATTATCAATCTCGGCACGTATCATGAGAAACAATGGATTTAGTATATAAAGAGACGCGAAACAATCTTCCAACATCATTCGAGTATCGAGCAGAACAACAAGTACACATCAACTATCCTCAATTATCAACATGAAGTGCATTGCAGTAAGTCCAATAATTTTTTTTTTTTTGAAAAAACAAAAAAAAATTTTCTTTTTATTGAAAGACTATTTAGAAAATTTTTAAACTTTTACTATTTTAAACTAGTGAATTCTTTTTAATTTAATTCCTCTGATCTTTTTAATTTTTTTCTGATTCTTTTTTTAATTCTTCTAATTTTATCTTATCTACTAGTTTAATTCCTATTAACTCCTATTTTTTTTACTAATTCTTTCTAATTTCATCTAATTTCTATTAATTCTTTTTAATTCTTTTTAATTTCTTCTAATTCCTAGTAATTCTTTTATTCTTAAATTCAGTATTTTTTACTATTGTTTCAAAATACACGGAAAAAAAATATAAAGTAATTTTAAAAAAATCCGTTTCTTATTTATTATTATTAATAGTTACTATTATTTTAGGCAATCCTTCTTCTGGCTTTGGCCGCCGTCGCTTTAGCTGAAACAAAGCCAGTGGAAGTGGAGAAGACCCAAGGAGCAAAACAAGTGGTGTCTGGACCGGAAGTCGAAAATTCAGTTGTGTCAGGGAGAAGTAAGAGAGGATACGTTCTAAGCGCATACAGCGCTCCAGTTGCGTACAGCGCATACACAGCACCAGTTGCATACAGCGCATACACCAATTATCCCTATGCGTACTCGGCATATTCATCTTACCCTTACTACGCATCTGGCTACAGTGCACCCTACTATTACGTCTAGACAACAATCTTTTCATGGCTATCAAAAAAGAAAAAAATAGAAAACAAAATTTATCATTTTTTTCGCATTGATTAATGAACAAGAAACATCCGGCAAGAAATCATCATTTCTCAGTTATATCGCACACGAGTCAATTTTCCCCTTATAAATAAGATTCATTGAAAATTTTTTGATAAAAATAATTGCGGACTATGAGAAATAAATATATAAAGAATGTAAATGCAGAAAAGAAGGAAAAAAGAAAAATACTAACGAAAATAGAACACACTGTATATTGAAAAATAAACATTTATCTCCTATACGAGAAAAATTTTTATTCATTCATCCCTTATGAAAAAATTTCTTTCCATACTTGAATCAATGCATCGAATATATTTCATTAATTCAAATAAAGTTTTCTAATTATAATTTCTAACATTAAAAAATTCATAGATATACTTTTAACGAGAAAAGATGTAATAATCATATGGCAAAAGAGATTACTTCAACCGTACTGAAACTTTTAATTGCCTGATTTAATTGCGCAACTCGTATAACTCTGACCAACAGAAATATATAAAAGAGAGTTATTAATACAAAAATTATATTACATTGCAAAATTATTTTTACATTCAGAAAAAAAAAATTTTTTTTATAACCAAATTGAGCAAATAAATTGTATTAACCAAAACCAAAGAATTTTAAAAACAAAGAAAAAAGTCAATGAAAATAATTTCAAATCAAGAAAATATTTTTTGGTTAAAAGAACCTTGAACCTTTTTCTAAAAAAAAAAACTTGACGTAGATAAGACATATTTACGCCTTTTAAACCAGCACTATGAAAGATCTACAAATTGACCTTGGCATCACAATGGAAGTAGCGAAGACGTTTATCGATAGGCATCAATGTATTTCATACACACATCACATGGAGCCATGACCCTTTTTCTATATCTATATAATGCCCTACTTAAACCAATTTCAAAACAATTTTTAATCCTTTTTTTTTATTATAATTTTCCAATTTTTCCAAAATTAATTCAACTAATTAAAAAAAAAAAAATCCAAGATAAAAGCGAAATACTAAAATACACCGGAAGTATATCACTACTATTTCTGTGGGGAAATTGAACTGTATTCGTTAAATTGAATTGAGTTGGCAAAGGACTTAAGCAACTCTCAATGAAAAGACAAGAGGAGACGAGAGAGCACAAACTCGACGAAATAGTTGTCAATGCTATTCGTTGATAACAGATTGTCGCATCCTTCTCACAGAACGACGAAAAAAAAAAAAAAAAGAAAAACACACGAAAAGGATTGATGTTGTGAACGAATAACGAGAATTGGAAACTCCAATTGAATCGATAACAAAACTTGCGCGCTTACTTTTTTATCATTCTTAAGAAAATCAAGATAAAAGAGAGTTTACAAACTTACATTTTATCATGATGGTTTCTCTCACAGGTGCGATTTTCGAGATTAAACTTTCAACTTACATCTATTATATCAAGAAGATCAATTTTTTATCACACTCACCTGAAACACAAAAAAAATAGAAAATATTTTATTAAATTAATTACGTTACATAACAAAAGATTGTAATATTTTTATAATACTTTCACGTATCAGTATAAAGTATTCCTCTCAAATTGAGAGGAAATCAGAAAATATTTCTCCTTAAGAGGAAATTAAATACAAAATATTTTAATGAAGAGAATTTTACTTCAAACGTGTGTCATAAAAAAAAACTTAGAAGGGATAAATATTCATAATTGTGAATTATATATTATCGGGCTGACAAAACAGAATTGTTTCACTTAAGTGAAAGAGTTCATGTTTGGTCAGCCAACTCCGATCGTTTATTATTTTACACAAGTGTGAAATACATCCAGAGAAAAAATATATAATTGTCTCAGAGCCAAATAAATATATTTATTTATTTCAAATAAATTTTATATGAGGTAAATAAAAAATTTGTTTACGCTAAATAAAAATTTAATTTGTGCTAAATGAATTTTTTTTATTTAAAACAAAAAATTCTTAGGTTCTGAGAGAAAAATATATTTTTATTTGCTTCAAATAAATTTTGTTTATTAAAATATAATTAATTATTTATTTTTTATAACAATATTTACTATCTCGCTAAATTAAAATTGAAATTTAGAGAAAAAGAGTTTTATATTAATATATATCAAAGTTATTTCGCGAACGAGAAAAATATTTTTTGCAGCTCCCTTGGAAATCATATAATAAAGTTTTAAAAGATCAGATTTGTTTGACCGCATTCCCCCTTTGATGTGAAGTAATTAATCGAATGCGCTTGGTCAACGAAAATTGTGATTTGATTGGATCAAAAACTTGAGCCTTGCCACTTGAATTGATTTTCATTAAAGCGCAGCCGACTATATTTGTTTGATCGATCGGCTGAAAGAATTGACACGAAATATATGAAATATACTAGCGACCCTGAAATATTCTAATGTACAACTTGACACTTAACAAATTAAATAAAAAACAAAAAAAAATCACATAAAAAAATATTTAAAAAACGTTTGTATTTAAAAATTCACTTTGCAAATATTTCACCCTTCGAAAAACATAATTTTCTTATATATATACACACTTTTGTATATATATATATATATATATATATATATATATATATATATATATATATATTCGAAATAGCAGAAAATGTAAATGAGAATCTTGAACGTTCTTTCAAATTCACTTCACGTATATCTAGTTTTCAAGACCCGTCTCGACGTAGACGTGGCGATAATTGTGACACTTTCCAACCCTCTACTCTTCCTTTATGTAGAAGAAGGTTTCGAGAAGAGCAGACGTATAATACTTAAAATGCCCGCAACATCCGTGAATCTCACTCGTTCGCCATTACTTTTTTCTACCTTCCGGCGATTCAAGGGGAGAGTTCAAAATCTTCTTTTATGAAATTTAAAAAATGAAAAAAAAAAAAAATTTCGCCAAATTGAACTAATCAGTACACTCGCACCAAAGAACGAATTTTCCAATAGGTTTATTCGATAAATTTCTAAAAATTATAAACTATAAAATATTTATCGCAAAAATATACTTTTATTTTCAGAAACAGAAAAAAAAGTATCCCATTGTCTGGAAAATCAAGCGTAATGATTGCTACAATCTAAACGAGTTTGCACGCCGGGTTTCCGTGTGTAATCACCGAATCGGATAACACAATCACGTTATTCTGCTTTATGTTCCCTGTTTTGTGTAATAAATACATATTGTACACAAATATTCATATATATATATACAACACTTTTCGCGTCAATTGAATAATAATTTACATAGCAAATCAAAATATATTTAAAATTTCAATATATATAATAAACTGAAAAATTCAAAGTAGAATTTGTAACCTATTTTTTCAATTTATAATATATATATATATATATAATCCCATAATTTCTGGAATCTCTCAATCAGTTCTTGCACACTTGATTAATTCCATGAAAGGGCCGAGTAGTTCTCATCCAATGTATATGACTTGGTCCCAGAGGACGCGCGTAATGCATTAATTAAGCAGAATCTCCTGCAAACCGGAAACTACGGTCTCGACTGCGATTCTGCCTAATGGATAATAGGGTTTCCGTCTGAATGTGAATTCTGTTTGCAAAAGACAAAACCCATTGCTCACCTATATTGTAGATCAACAATCGATTTCTAGCATTAATCACCTTTCAAAATAAGAATTCTTCAAAAATTCGTTTTTTATTTAATAGTTTAAATTTTACTTTGTAAGTATAGTAAAAGTTACTTTATATTATTTCCGTGTTAAAATCAATAATGGCAATTGATATTTTCCGTACAAATATAAGACTTTACTTTGATCTTCATCGCAATTATTATTAATTAGCAACACGATTGATTTTGGCATTAGTATATGGTTTCGAAAGCTTTTGACGTGGAAAAGATTAAATTATGGTTTAGGTTGGACCGTTAACTCAACGGGTTATTAACCTCGTTGCTCAACCAACTGGTTGATTGCCACTAACGTGAAGTAACGTCCTTCGTAAAGAGTTTTCGAATTTGTCGCTATGAGGAAAACTCTTGAGATTCACATATTATGCAATTTTCCACCTTATCAAAGAATATAATAAACCCGCGAGAAAATTTGATAATTATATAATGAATTCAAAAATCTTATCCATCTATTAGAAAATAAAAAATATAATATGTTCTCATGTTCGTTGAAGAAAAAAACAGAATTTAATACAAGTCGTTCGTTGGTAGCGTGATTTACAACAAAAGTTTGAAGGGGAGGAGTTTAAAAGCCGATATTGGTCCATGGAAATGATGCATTAAAAGTGCACCCATACCGAAATTGAAAAAAAAGCTTTCAAAATAGACAAGAAAATTTTCTAACATTCTATAAGAATTGTTCAAAATTTTACTGAACAATAAAGAAGATAATTAATTCAAAAACATTTATTTGATTTTTACCTTTAAAAAAATATCCCATGTGAAAGGATTTCCGGAAAAGTTACTTATTACAATTTCCGGAAATTACAAATTAATTTTTTTTTTTCATTTCTCAAAACCTAAATTTCAGCTCAATTATTTTGAAACCTCTAAGTTTATTAAACACAAAAAGTACCATTCCCCCTCAGTGAATACGTAATGAAGATAGGATCACAATTAGAACTGTAAGTTCCTTCCTTTTTCCATTCCAGGAAAAAAAAAGAACTAAAAAAAAGATTTTTACCGAGAGTTCGAGAAGCTCGAGGGAAAAAAAAAGAGATTCATTGCATTGAACCGTCTGCTTCGTTTTTCGATGGTATGGGAAGTATAAGAGCGAATCGTATAATGTAGGTTTAATTCTTTGGCAGAATTTTATTTTTTCTAATTTTGTCATTTTCACGATAAAAGACTATTATACTAAAAATGTTTCTTTAAATTTTTTTTTTTTTTTTTTTTTGAAAATAAAAAGCAAAAAAAAAAAAAAAAAAATAAGAAATTCTCGTTTGCAAATATTTAAATAAGTTAACTCTATATACTGTGCCATGAAAATACCAATTAAATAATCCACTACTAAACGCGCGGGACAATTTCATTTGGTCCGTTGACCGAATGAAATTCTACAAATGCTTCAAGCATTTGCAATGTAAATTAAAGAAGCGACTGGTAGGTACAACACAAAAACTATAATTTACATAAATATATAAAATAAGCGTAGAAAATTTTAACTTGATAAACAAAAAAGATTATATAATATAAAAATTTCACAAGCATCTTTTCCACACTGAAAATATAATTTTAAAAAAGTACCGACTTAATTTT